TAATAATTTTTTAATATCTTCTCATTAATTAATTGATTAGCTCAAGGCCACACTACAATTCATTAAATATTACTCAGTAAGCTAAAGAAACCTCCTTTCCCATTATTTGTTACACTTATTTTTCCATATTTAAATAAATATTAAAATTATTCAATATGCAATTTATTAGCAAATGAAAGCAATAGTAAACATGTACATAACTATTATAATACTTCAATTAATGGCATTGCCAGAATCACTTCAAACCTTTAAATTATCTGTAACTTTTAGTTAACTCTTCATTTGTCTGGAAACTGTCCCAGATCATTCCATTCACTCCATATTACTATTTTCCCTCAAGATTTGTTCTTCTCTGTTTTCTTTTTAGCAGTGTTGAGAAACCATATTTCAGGTTTTCTCAAGCTCTTTACAGAATCCTCATTATAAGCTTTCCTTTATGTGATTTCCTCAGAAAACAACACTTGTAGTTCTCATAAGAAAGAAGTCCAACCTTACATTCTTTCATGTAGATTACTTATTGATCCTCACAGATCACAGATTAAACATACATCATCTCCCTGACTCCTTAAGAAAGGGCATACATATTTCAAATACTTCCTAGATCCTTCTGGATCACGGAGATGCTTTTTATGTCAAGATATTTCTCAACTGTTACTTCTAAGTGTCAACAACAACTGTTCTTTCACCAATTTCATCTTAGTTCTTAATGTTAAAATAACAATATCTGAGCTGTTATTGAGATAGCAACAGCCTCCATGAGATATGCATTTAGAGGAAGAGTCACATTTTTTTTCCTTTTGAAGCACTTCTATTCTTCAATAACAGTGGCCAGGAAACCAGGGCTTTATTCTAAGATGCTGATTATACATGGTAGATAGGTGGTATAGTAGATAGAATGCTAGAACTGAAGTCAGGAAGACTTATTTTTATGAGTTCAAATCTGGCCTCAGATGCATACCATGTGACCTTAGGCAAGTCACTTAACCCTATTTGCCTCAGTTGGAGCTGGAGAAGGAAATTACAAACTACTCCAGTATCTTTGTCATGAAAACACCACTAAGAGTCATGAAGAGTCAGAATGACCAAACACAAAAACAAGCTTATTATTTGGGTGATTATAGCACTAGTAGCCCTTCTGCACTTTAGCAACAATAGAGCTTAGCACTGGTTAGCAAGAATAACTAGTTAAAATAGGATACTATTAGATCAGTTCCTTCCTCAGCCTGTTTCCCTTTCTCTCTTCAAAAGCTTCACCAACAGCAACATTGAGTCAGTGTCTCAGAGTCCCTATTTCCTCTCTGCCCTATCAAGCAACTCCTTCCTCCTTCAGTTGAAAGCACTATTAATGCCATTTGCTCAAGTTCAGTTTCCAGTCCTTGTACTGTGCACAGACTCCTACTCATGGCCACACCTTCAAGACAAGATTTATTCTTTCTGATACTTTACCTTCTCTTATAATGAGACCACTATACAGACTCTGATGACGAGAGAGAGAGAGAGAGAGAGAGAGAGAGAGAGAGAGAGAGAGAGAGAGAGAGAGATTGATGGCTTCGCACCTCCCTGCCTCACTTAAATCCAATTCACTTGCAAATCAAGACATCACCCGCCCTCTGAGAACAAAAAATGAAGAACAGTTTCTGAGAAGTAGTAGCTGCCCCACTGGGGACCCAACTGGCCAGTTCCAGTTGGGCAATGCTACTATTTTCTCCTTCCTCCTCTTCTCTTCTTCCTCCTCCTCCTCTGCCTTCTCCCTTTGTCCATGTGGGGAGTCATACCCTTATATATGGGTGCTGTGTCCAAAGGAATATACATTTTGATTGCTTATACTTCACAAGATATCATGGGGTTTGGGGGCTAGATTTTTTTCCTCCCTATTTACTTTATCATTTTTTTAAAAACTGGGACAATTAACTTTTGTCTCAAGTAATTTTCATGTATGATTTCTTGAAATATAAGCTCTGGTAAACCAGGCTTTGATAAAACCCATTGGGATTCAAATGGAGGTACTTGACTATGCCAGATCACTCTGGCTTGCACTGATTGGTCAATAATGAGCCCAAGACTGACTTGCACATTGTTTGGGTTTGAATTGCTCAGAGTGAGGGTAAAATAGCAATTGTTTCTGTTCTGGTCAAAAACTCTGAGGGTCCTTCCCCTCTCAGATTGATCCTTTTGTGAAGGCAAACTAGGCTTACCTAGCCTTTAGTCACTGAATGGGTGTTATCTCAGATAAACTGAGTCCTGGGAAAGACCTGAGCTTAAAAAGGCCAAGGTCCCCAATTGCATCTGGGCCATCTCCTGTTGTCATGACCTTTGTCTTGCCACTGGGCTTAGATGACTCTAGAGGAGAGAGTGAGGCTGATGACTTTGCACAGCCTTGCCTCACTTAAATCCAATTCACTTGCAAGACATCATCCTTCTGATGCTGTTGGTCAGCACCAAAAAATGAACATCAAAAGATGAACTACAAGAACAATAATGAGACCAAACCGCATTTTGTGATCATATAGTATTTTTTTGGCACTGGTAAAACCACAAAAATATCATAATCTCTTCATGTCATAGGAAAATTCCTCTTGCTGTTGATACTTTCTGAAACCAGAATCTGCCAATTTCTCTCATTTATTGTTGACAGATTTTATAGTTAATTCTCACGGCTAATCACTAAAGTAAACTTCCTATTTGCCACTCCTGCTCACTGTGCTCTCTTGCTGACAGCTCCTGAGTGAAGCTTTATGTATAGAAATTTGTCCTGCATAATCCCTCAAACTTTCTTGCTTATTCTCAGACATTAGACTTTGTGATCACCTGTTCTAAAATTAGAAGATTCCTGCCAATGCCTTAACGCAAATTGTAGTTGCCCTATTGTCTGTGAAAAGGTCTTCCATATAAAGTAAACTTTGACCTTCCTCTTTTTTACCTTTTAATTCACTTCTTTAACCACTAATCACATACTTCAGACCTTTTCTTGCCTACTTCTTGCCTTTTGCTGTGAGACTTCTGTAAATCTGAAAATAAATGTTATTATTTTTTGAAGGGGAATTTTATATTAAACTTTTAATAAATACTGATATTTTATCTTAAAGTTAAATTCATCCATAATAATAGTAGTTTACATTTATGTAAAGCTTTATGTTTACAAAATCTTTATATACATTTTCTCATTTAATCCTCATCATAACCCTGTGAGATAAAGTATAACTATTATTATTACAGTATTCCCATATTTTTTTTTACAGAAAAGCAAACAAAGTTAGAGAAATTAAGTGACTTGCTCATGGTCACACATTTAGGAAGTAGCAAATGCAAGATTAACACTCCCATCTTCTGACCCCAAGTCCAGTGCTTTTTCTCCCTTGCCAAAACCTTGTCCTCACCTTTCTCTCTTTCTTCCAAGATTTTATTCTTTATTCCCACTTGTTTCGCTTGGTTTTTTTTTCCTGATCCTAGATGGGAAACTGAAGGTATATATTACTTGGTCTACAACTTTCATCAATGATCAGATCTGAGGGCTCTGAAACAGGAAAGGTATAATCCAAACAATCATACAGGAATTTATAGAGATGTGCAACTTAAAAGGCTTTACCACAGTGTTAATTTTTAACAGTACTGTAGAATTTTAGAGAGCAGAGTATTTTGGAATTCATAAGATTACTAGGTCATAGGATTTAATACTAAAATTGACCTCAGAGTTCCAGTAGTCCAACTCCCTCATTTTAATTAAGAGAATGGAAAGGGTGCTGCTGAGAAAGGTTGAATGACTTGCCTCAAATTAGCATGTGATAGGATCAAATAAGTTCCCAGAGATTTGGTGAATGGAGTTTAGGGGAAGATGGAAGGATGGTGAGTTCCCTGAATTTCTGGCTTTGTGAAATCCCCCCCCCGCCCATATTTAGTCTACTTATCTAAAAAGTCAGCAAAAACAACTTTAACTTTATGTTTTTATTATGCTCCTTTAAAGTTGTGTTACAACGTTTGTCCAAATAAACTGGGGCAACTATATTTCATTTTGTTCAATGAATTCAAATTTAATAAGCATTTATAGAACACATAGGGTCAAAACATTCCGCCGAGAGTGAAATGCAATTCCGGCCATAGAGGAACTAAATGTCTAGTAGGAAGAAGAAAACAGGGCATGTATAGAAGTAATGCAGTAAAGAATACTTTTCTTTTTATATTGTATTCCACATCCAAGTGCCATAATGACCATTCCTTATTAGTCATGCTATTAGCCTCTTTTGATGCTTCTATCCTCTTTCTTAAAGCCATTCATTGATAGTGTAGTAGAGGAAAGCTCACTAGATTTGGAGTCAGGACCTGGGTTTGAATCCTTGCTCTCTGTTGCTTAATACCTTTGGGCATTTGACAAGTCACTGAGACTCTTTGAATTTCAAATGCTTCATCTGTAAAAGTTGTTTGGACTACTTGACCACTAAGGGTCCTTCCAGTTCTACAGCCTGTGAGGATGTTTGTTATTCTAACTGCGTACAAGTTTTTAGCAAATAGGTACATTTACAAGGAATAGTAGGGTTCTGGAAACAAATAAAGTTATTAAATTGATTCTTTATTGAATTCAAAAAAGTTAAGATCCTTGTTTTTTCTTTCATTAATATTTCAAGAAACTTCTGCTGAGCATTAGATTGCTAGTAAACATGTAATAATGTACTTGAGAAAAGACTTAATACTGATAAATGGACTTTAGGGAGGGAAAGATTCAGTTTAATCAATATTAAAATTTTTAAATTCCAGAACCAAAAGATGTTTTAGCAATATTTTTAATTATAAAAGTAGCTGCTGTCCTTTTCATTAGAAATATTTTTAAAAATTTTAAAAAGAAATATCAAAACAAAAGTATTTAATAAAGATTTCTACCAGATTAAGACTCAAGTGCACATTTATTCCTCACTAAATCTCATCAGCTGCTTACCATTTAATCCTGTTACTAACACCTTGCTCTGTCATCTCTTTGTATATATGTCTAATTTATCAGTTTTTTATAGATTGTCAGCAGCCTGCTGCCTCCATATCGCCACAATGCTCACAACTAGCCAGGAGGCAAGACTGCCAGACTGTCAGGTAATGTTTAGATAAGTTCTTATTCTGTTTAGTTTTGTTTCAGATCCATTCACCACTTAACCATAACTTTACCTTGACCTTACATATTTGATTGTATTTCCCTGAAATATATACTCAAGCAGGGGCTCAGTAAACACTAATTGAGGGAAACAAACTAGACAGGAAGAATGGGGATTACAAAGGAATCTGAGAACTGCAGAATAGCAGCCGCAGCCTCTAGGTGGCAGAATAATACTTGACCAGGTATCATAGAAAACTATTCTTATTTCATTAGTATTCAAGTAGCTTTTGTATTATATTCTATACTGAACCTTTATCTTCTTCATCTATGGAAATATCAATGCTGCAGATATTAACATGCTTCTTTTGTGTTAGGAATATACTTCCCATAAAAACAAAGAAAGATATATAATGTGACTTCTGTGACAGTTCTTTAAATGTTTTGCTTCTAGTTTGAGTTCTGCTCTTCTTATCCATAAGATCTGAAAGCTGATATGACAGTAGATCTAGACACTAACATTTAACTTAGGACTTTCTCGTTAACTTGTAAACAATGTTGATAAACTTTTAGCCTGGGGTATGCTGGTCAATGTTTAACAACCAGCTTGGAGGGAGTGGGGGGTGGGGAAGGTGCCTTTTACTTTTAATCTGCATTAAAAATATTTTCTCTATGACTTTGTTAAGTCTAGATAATCAACCAAAAAAATCAATCCCTGATTTGTATTTAGCATTTGCCAGTAATTTTTAACAGCTCTCCTGAACTAGCAAGAGCTGTCTCCAGCACACCTCACCTCTCCAACCTGTGGGTCAAAGGTCCAATTGTCATAATTATGGAGGGAAACACTTTAGGAATTTAAAGAGTAGAAAATTAATCTGCTGTCCCTATGTTATTTGTCTGTGGCTTAATCCACAGCTAGATTCTTCAGAATCAAAATGGAAAAATGGAACTCATTTAAAAAAACTATCTAGGAAAGAGTCAAGAACAGATAGAATTAAGGATGGAGTAAGGTGAGGGGAAATAAAACTAAATTTAAACAGACTTTTTCTCACGCTGGCCTACTATATTTGAGTCTCATTCTGTTTTCTGGCAGAGGTAAGTTGTATGATGCAGTTCTCCAAAATTCAAGTATTCAATCCCATACAGTTTGTATCTTGTAATGACCCATTTTCAATCTTTCAAGCCAGTAGCATGTCTTGGGACTCCATCTAATTTTAATTTAATGAGACTGAGGAACATATGCCAGGTTATGAACTTTACATAGATTTGAATAGAGAAAATTTTACATTGTAAGAGGGTTATTCTATTTTTCAAAAATTGAAGCTCTGTCTTTTTAGGAAATCATTTTGTACCCAGTTAACCAACCAAAATTTTTATGAGGATCCTTTCCCTTAAAATCTTCTTATCAGTTTTAAAGGTAACTCCCTTAGTGTATTGATCTATTTTATTAAAGAAATTGATTTTTTTTAAAGGTCAGCTCAGTGCTCCTCAGAACAATCTCTGAACCTACCATTTACAACCTTAATTCAAGAATCAAAATAAACTCAAACTGTCAAATATGAGAATTTTACTAGAGGTGAAACAAAGCTAGATCCTTTAGAATAAAAAGGGGAAAATGTAACTAATTTTTTAACAAATAGCTGATTTTGCTAAATAACTCAAATTTAATTTCTATTAAATGTTTTATTATGTAACTTATTTTTATTAAATTTAAGTTTTATAAATAACAAAAAAACTTTTAAAATAGAACTCATTTTTAAAAAATAACAATTATATATAATGCTTATTTTGTTATTGTTCAGAAGCTTCACATGTAGTTTATAGTGTGTACAACATGATTTGCCTCCCACAAATTCTTGCTATTTTGGGAGGAGAGAGCCAGTTTGCCTGTATGTGTTTAGTTAGAAACATAATGGGTTTTTTGTTTCTGCAGCACAAATTTTTTCAAGTTTAGTTGTTCAAGTCAATCTCAATGAGATCTTAAGTTAGGGAAAGATATCCCACAAGCTGAAAAGTAACATGGTGGATTAAAGGCCAGTCATAGAATCTAACAAGATTCTGCCTCTTAGACTATATGTGACTATGGGCAAGTTACTTAACTTCTTAGTGCCACTGGCAACTCTGCAAGTTTCAGATAAGTTGTTGATATGCTTGGCTAAAAGGAGGTTTCACCCTGGGAATTCCCTACATGGGACTGCAAAAATAAACAAACCAAGTAAATGTAGATCTAAGCATGAAATTACCTTTTGACTAGAAAACCAGAAAGAATTAAAATTACTCCTACCAAAAACCACCCCCAAAAACTTTACCTCAGATAATGAATTGAAAGGTTGTGAAGAATCTTCTCTGTCAGTGTGTCAAACTAGCTTCTTAAAAGTACCTGCTATGTACTACTAGTCACTGTGCTAAGTGTTGAGGATACAAAGAAAGGCAAAAAATTACTGCTCTCAAAGAGCTCACAATCTAATGCAAAAATATTTGCATGTTGTCTCCCTCATTTACTTTTTCTCTCTAAGATAAACTTTAGTATGCTTTTTTAAAGGTTTTGTTTCACTTTCAATAGGCAGTTAAGAAGACATTTCTCTTTTCAGATAGTTTGATTAACAAAAGTATTTAGTCTATAATTCCATTTCTTCTCAAGATTTCCATATTGTCATACCACAATTACTTTCTTAGTAATTTCTTAATGTTATCCATATCAATATCATGAATTCCATGAAGCCATTGTTGAATCAGGAAGAAGCTTTATTAACCACTTGGGAAGGCCAGGCATCATGCATATGTAAGAGCATGCATGTGAGAGCACATGTATTGACAGATGCACACCTTTTTATTCCCTATTCCCCATTCAAATTTCCTTCCCCTGTTTTCCCAGTAGCTGGGTACTACAAAGGTGACAGCCTATCTGAAGCACCTAATTTCCCCATGTGAGTCTCTGCCCCTACTTACATCTCCCACTCCCCACAATTCAGGCGACCTGGCCATTACTTATGTTAATGTTAATCTATACCTAACCTCTGGACTGATTTTCTACTGGTTAGTCTATTCACTACCAAGAGTGTTTTCTTATTCTAATATAACTCCCTTTGTTCAACTTCCACCTAGCTCCTAGACTGCATTCCTTTCCACTAGACTTTTGTGGAAATTATAATTTAAAAAACTATTTTTCACATTCCCTCCTAGTTTTAAATTGACTCCAGCCTCTGATTGAGTGATATGCAAAAGCAACATCCATATATTCTACATTAATAACAATTTTTTTTTGCATTTTCTATAGAGCTTTCTAATTTTTATTTGATTCTCACAACAACCCTATGAAATAGACAAAATAGGGATTATTTTTCCCATTTGGCAGTTAAAGAAGTTATAATTCAAAGTGTAGGTGACTTGCCCAGTGTCATGAATTCTGCATCTAATTACAGATTGTTGGGATGCATTTATATTGCCAAAATTAAATTAAATTTATCTCTAGATTAAGAGGAAGTGCTTCATGGGAAAGGCAAAAAAGAAATGTGCAATCATTTTCTGCCTATTAATCCCCATCTGCTAAGCTTTTTAAATTCTATAGCCCCTGTCTGTGAACACCTCTCCTGAGATTACCCCCACACCCTCATCATATTTAACTGACTTGATCAGTCATTCAGTTACTAAGTGTCTATTATGTGCCAGTCATTGTGCTAAGTGCTCAGGATACAAAGAAAGGCAAAAGACAGTCCCAGCTGTCCAGGAGCTCACAGTCTAATGGGGGTACTCAGACTTCTTATTACAGTATAATATAACAATTTAGAAGCAAAAACCCAATTCATTAATATATCCTTTTTCAGAAGCAATGCTATTTGATTGGCAAAAGATGAAGAGGGGAGAGGAGTACATGTGTCATCAGGGAGGGAAATGGTCAAGGAGAAAATGAGAATATGTGTTTCCATGGAGTTCAGAACTGACCAAGATATGGTCTCTGGAAGTCTGCTTTACAGGGTGAAGTTGCAACAGGAAGCATTGCAGAAAAATGGCTATGGTAAGGATGAGGACCCATGGTCTGTCTCAAGGAGTTCAGAGCTAAGCAGCTTAGTTCTTCCTGGGCAGTGAACCTATGTTTGAAAAACTTTATGTTTTAAGGCCTTATAGCCTGTCTTTTCATCCTGCATCTGCCACTTCTCAGCTGTATGATCTTGAGCAAATCACTTAATTTCACTCAACCTCAGTTTCCTCATCACATATTGTGTAAGAATGATAACAATAATGATAATAATAATTAGTATTTATATTATGCTTTAAGGTTTGCAAAGTGCATTTGCAAATATTATCTCATTTTATCCTCACAACAACCATGAAATGTAGATATTATCTCCACTTTATAGCTGAAGAAACTGAAGCAAACAGAGGTCAAGTAACTTGCCCAGGCTTGCACAGCCAGCTGGCAGTGTCCGAGGCAGGATTTGAACCCAGGTGTTCCCAAGTCTAGCTCCAACCTTCTACCCACCACATCACATAGGTGTTGCTAAAATAGGCATAAAAGTTATTTCGAGGCCCAAAAGAAATAATGAAGATTTTCTTTAAATTTGTAGAAAGAAGAGTCTGAGAAATTTATAAAAACTAAAACTGAGAGAGAAAAAAAACTGTCCTTGAAGAGCAAAATAACTTATATAAGAATGATTTTTTTCAGCCATCCTACAGGTATCCCATAAACAAATTTGGAGTAGGTCCCATATTGGTAATTTTTTTGGAAGAGTGTTTTAGGTACCAAAAAAACCTTTTAAAATACTTTTGTGATGTTCACACTACCATTCTGAACTAAAAAAGCAATTTCTAAAGACCCTCCCTCACAACCAGATTTTTTTAGTAATCAAATGTATTATTCAGATGTCTTTGGATCCATCAAAGAAATGAGTGCTTTGCAAGAACTTCCTTAGTATGGCTAAATATTAATAAAGATGGATGACTTTGAGGGGATAAGAGAAAGAAGGTAAGATGAGGGAAGATTTAACTTTTTTTTTTTTGCTATGCACATTTTACTTTCTTTAGGACTGTCCTAAGAAACCCAGGTTTGGGGGGCATGCTTTATATTTAAGTAGATGCCACCCCAAATGGAGTCATGATGAGTTGTACTTGACTGAAAAATGATTGAACAACAATAAGACTCCAAAGTAAAATTTCCATGGCTATAACAAAACATTATGTAAACAACATTGATCTTAAGATTTAAATATGAGATTTGTGCTAAATTATTTATTTAAAGCATGATTTGCCATTCTGCCTTGTGCATTATACACATTTCTTACTGCTCCTTTGTTCTGTTATGTGTTTCCTTTTCAGTCCTAATATCATTCTTCCAGAAGAGCAGCCACATTCCAGCTCTCAGTGTGCCCCTCTCAACTGTCTCTCCCAGCCTTCTTATCCCTAGTCTTCATCTTCAATGGAAAAAAAAAGTATGGAATGGAATTTGTACAACTGTTATGCAGGCTACTCCCCAGCATCCAGCAGGCATTTCTGCCTAGTTGGTAACATGAATAAAACTTGTTTTATTTCTATACTACTGGAACTTGAGAGAAGGTTGAGAAGTACACCACAAGCACAGAGGCCAGTCTGACAGGATGCTTGATGGTTTCTCTGATTGCATACAAAGTTAGATAAAGAATGTTCAGTGATAGGAACTTTTAAAAAAAATCTGTTTCCAGATGCTTGGCTTTATCTCTTAAATCAGAGGTACTTAAGCCAATATAAAATATATGCTAGAAAATCACAAAATCCTATCCTCCTCATTCAGCCACAGAATTCTGATTCAGATATTTTTTCAGTCAATGGTATTTATTTATTTTTATTTTATTTGCACCACAATTTGTGTTAGTAAAATGTAAACCAATTGTAAATTTTTTTTGTATATAATTTGTATATGTTTAAATAAGCAAAAGTAGTTGAATTAAGTTTGATTTTAATTATTTAAAATTGGCCTGAATTTGGCTATTTTTATTGCACAAAATAAAAATCTGGTTCATTGGAATATTCATGTTAACTTTGTATTTGCACTGCTTGTGTTTACGTACTTATTTTCTAATTAGTTATTCATTAGCTTCTGATTTTATAATAGTTTTCCATTGAAAACCAATTATTAAACCTAAAAAAGATCTTAATTATGATCATTTACTTTTATTCAACTATTTGATTACATGCTTTTTTTTTAGGATTTCCAGCATGTAGATGAAATGGTGCTGTTCCATTTTTATGTGGCAACTCATAAAGGAGTGCTAGACAACTTGAATAATATCATGTGTTCATTTAATTTTCTTTTTTCTCCAAAATTCGAGGTCCCAATATAAGTCTTTACCTGTGAAAAGATTATAAGTATAGATGGCAAAAGATATATATGCATAAAGGCATCTTTAAAAAAATTAGTTCACTTAGGTAGGGTTAAAAGTTTGGGATAAAGTTGGTATGACAAGGGTGATCTTTTTTTCTGCAAAATTTCCTTGCCCAAAACAATAAATATTAAACCTTAGTGCATTGTCAGCTTATGACAAATACTCAGGTGCCTATGATACACAGATTATCTTTGACAGTGCAGTGTTCCTAGCTAAATTACAGATTCTTTTAGAAAGCTTCCTAGGACATAATTTAAAGCAGTGAATTTACATATGTCAAAAAATAACTGACTTTATTTTGCACAATAACCTGACAGACAAGGAAAGTAGCTAATTGACCTGTAGAGTAACAGTCTTGGGCTCCTCATCCACCTATTAAGTGCTATCCATTAATTGCTCTTAGCCCTAATTCCTTGCTCTTAGTCAGGTGGCCTTAATTTATTTAGAGAAAAAAGGGTTTGATATTTTCATGTGACAATATCCATGACTTCTCTACAAATGCCACACTAAAAATAGTCCACACTTTTCATAGGATCATGGAATTAGTGATGGAAGGTACCTTTGAGATCATCTAATCCAAGTCCTTCATTTTACACATGGAAAAGTCAGGCTCAGAGAGATAAAGTGACTAGCCCATGTGTACACTGCTAGTACATGCCAGAGTCAGGTCAGGGTCATTGACAACAGAAGTCAAACAAGAATCATTCAGGAGTTTAAGGGAAATCAGTCAAGTTCAATGGTTATCAAATTCTAAGTAATAAAGTACATGTTTTTTTTTCTTCAGAAATATGCACCTGTCATGTGCTAATTAAGAAGCAGCAACCATCATTTCCAAAACAACTAAAGAACTTACCTACATGTGTGGTATGTGCAACAGTGCCACTTACCAAATGTAACTTCAGATGAATGGTGAGATTGTGCACCAAAACAAATATTAAGGTTTAGGTTCAAACAAAATTAGAAAACAAATCTTCACCAAAGTGTGACCACTGCAACATAACTTTCTGCTCTGTTTCTTAATGCATTTTCAAGCTGTCCCTGAACATTTTTCTTATCTTATTTTACCATGGCCATCTGGTGCCATACATAAACAGTGTATGCATTTTTATTACAGGTCAGTCAGCATTTTTTTTTAATGGAAGCATTATCATGCTGTTTGGACCTGAAATGTAATATAGCTGCTACATAGTTTTTTTAAATAAACACTCTTGTGCCTGAGGAAATATTTGCCTTTAAAAAGGACCTCAGAACACCTTCCTAGATTTCCTCATTATTCTTATGTATGGTACTGGGAATACAGTGGGAAATACCATTCTAAAATTATGTGAATATGTGTCAGTAACACTCTGTTGCATATCTGGATATCTGAACTGGATTTATGACCCAATGAAAAACCAGTAGAAAATACAAAAAACATTTCTTCCCTCTCAGATAAAATATCTCTAATTCTATAGCATATGTTTGATATTAAAAGTTTCTGTTTTAAGTTGCCAAAAGAAAAAGTAAGTTTGCTTTGAAGTATTTATGAGATACTTATTTTAGCTAAAACTTGCTAGAATGTGAAAACTTAGAAATGAATATCTATGTCTCCACACAAACCAGTTGGATCCAAAAGCAGCTGCTAAAATCATAAGATCTTAACCACCATCTAGTTCTGCTTCTTTTTATAACTGATCATACAGGCCCAGAAATTTTGTATGATTTGTCCATATGAACCACAACACTAGAAAGAGCCAGTATCAGAATTGAAAATAAGCTTTAAAATTGTAAAACTGATTACAAATACCCTGAGCCTCAGTAAGGACAAGGGTAGGGTAACAGACTTAAAAAATAAAAATAACCCACAGCAACAAAATAACAAAAAAAGCATTGACTAAGTAAATACAGAAAATATTTCGATATTGCAATAGCTAAAGATGCTATAGCTCCTTTGTTACTGTTGTTGTTGTTGTCTGTTATTGTTGTTGTTTTAGGGAAGCACAATAGTGTCCATTAATGGGAGTAGATGAAGCAAGAATTATGAGATAATTGTTCATTTACTGAATCTACTGACTTTTGCAGTTGAGTTGGTTCTAGGCTTCACAGTCAAGAGTATTGTTCAGCATGCTGAAAAAAAATAAGCTCATTAAATTATTAAAGAGTGGGAATAGTTCAGCTAGGAGAAGAGAAGGAAGACTCTTCAAAGAGAGGAAGAGTTTTAAAGAAAAGGTAACTGACCATTTTTTGTTTTTCATCACTGAGAACAGAAGAAGAAACAAGAGGATTAAAAAGATTTAGGTTAGCTGGGAAGTTTAGGTTAGCTAAAAGAAATACTTTTCAAATAAATATTACATAAAAATGGATTATTATGGAAGTTTGTGGAATCTCCTATAGAGTAGACACACAGTTCTTTGGTGTGGTTTAAGTACCTTAATTCAGGGTATTATGCCTTAAAATATCATAGCTCTAATATTCCATAAGCACACAATTCTGTGAAAATCTAAAAGAAAAAATATTTTAAATTCTCAGATTGGACATAAAGACACATAGTAACCTTTGAAAATAGGTTAAGAGTGTTAGCATTTTTCATGGTACCTAGCAAGAATTTTCTTTTCCGAAAAGCAGACAAGGATAGTTAGTTTCTTTCTATCAAGCAATATTCTGTACTGTCTTTTTTCCATAGTTATTCATAACACTGAAATTAATAGGCAAAAATCAACATGATTATCAGAGGACAATAAAACAAATATACTCGGTCATACTTAGGAAGCCAATGGTGAACATTTCCCTACAAAAACCTTTAAAATCTGTTAATTTCAGAAAAGTAGTTTGAGCCTACAGTCTTGTAAGCAGCTGGCTGGATGTGAATACATTTACTCTTTTCCATGTGTTAGAAAAGTCATTCATTTCCAAACATGAATTTAACATTGGCCACATAAGGACAATGATGAACATATGAATCAAATGACTTGCTATACAAAAAAAATGAAAATTATAAAATGTGAGGAAGAGAGGAGCAAATAAAGGAAAATGTATCTTCTACTAGAATATGAATGTCAGTTTCCATGTCTGACTGTATAATTGTTCATTGCTAACCACACAAGAAACAGTGTCTTTCAGAAAGACTTATCAGGTGAAACCTTTTCTGGATTTTGAATTGGTTGAACTATATGCTAGTGAAACGTTTTATGGCCACAAACATATTTATTAATTGTCAATATGAAGTAGGATTCAATTTGAAGGAAACTTTTGGGAAAAAACCAATGTTTTGCTGCTTATAAACATAGGATAGTAAAACTAAGTTGCCATATTTAAATGTTTGAAAATAGGGGGAAAAACACTTGAAGAAGCTGCTAATTTAGGGTTGATAGCATAACCACTAGCAATATAAGACTAACAGAGTCCTCAGTTCCTTTTTTTTTTTTTAACAAATGTTCACTGGTCATTTGGTATCCATGATGAATTTATGTATTTCACAAAATGGGGACACTGAAACCTGAAGACATAAAGTCAACTGATGTTTTACTTTTGCAGCCTGGTCATGTTAACACCCAAAACATTATAGCTGCCATTTATCTAGACTTTCTTCCCCTTTTACACATAGTAGTATATTCAGTGTTCAAAAATATTTCCCTATTGATGATTTGTCCTTATTTATATTCTATTAAAAAAATTTTAAAAAACACCTTAGCCTAAGGGCACAGCTACATATAAATATGCAATATCAAATGTTTGCATGAGATTATTTTTGTCATGTAAGTTTTCTCATAGTCATCATATAAATGCTTTAGAATTCTTTTTCTTTCTCCATTAGGAATTTGATACATATACTTGTTTCCCTCTACACAGAGAAACGCATGGCTTTAATCTTCAGTTCATTTTGAACCTCTTTATTGTGGAGTTATTTAAAATTTATCTATTAAAACTAAAAGTTAGATAAACTGCTGGGCCAAGTCACTTTTTGTGTGATTGGTATTTATTTGCTGGCTGCTAACACATTGATTTTTTAATTAACTTTTTAGAAATATCTGTTAATCTTTGTTTCTTAATGCAAACATTAGAAAGTTAATCTAATAGTCCTCTCCATGAAGGTATGACTTTTTAAAGCAATATTAATATGTAAACATTTGAACCAGAGAACCAAAAAAAGGTAAGGAAAATGTTGAAAATCAACTGGCCAGTCTTCCAAAAAACCTTTATTATAAAAAAAAGCAAAAATCATTCTCCTCTTTTTTTCCCCAGTTATGATTGCAAAACTGACTTCTGGGGATATAAATTACCTTTAAACTATTGCCACAAATTTCTAACATAATTAACTGTTAGCCAATTCATTAAGCCTTTGAAAATTAGTTTTATGACATTTTTATAATTTATTATGCTTTTATTTGCATGTTATATATCTAATGAACCATTGATGATTCTGATATTATCTTTCTTTATAGAATTAACATTGGGGCAGTTTGTGGCAAACTTTGGTTTCTGTCCTGCATAATTATTGCTTTAATGCTTTAACTTTTCATCAAAAATTTGTTGTTTTGCCCCTTAAGAGTTAAATGATGTGGAATTTTTCTAGATGGTAATAATCCCATGTACTGATTGATTTCAAAAATGATATAAAAAACTCTTCTTGTATTGCAAATTATTTTAAAATTCGTGTCAAATGAACATTGTTATCAAGTATGTATGGATTTGTTTTAAAAAAAAAACAAAATATTTTTCATGCAAATTTATCATCCCTTGTTTTATTTCTTTTAACTGTGGACAATCTTAGATTAATGTCTTGTGAGGGATTCATATAATATGTGTTTGTATTTGTGTAGTTCTTGCGTTGAAATGGTTGGAAAAGCCACTCTAGAGCTAAGAAAATAACAGAAAGCTAATTGTATTGATTCTTTCCTCTTTGTTTCTGTTACCAGTTGAATGCAGTGTAACATGGAAAGCTCTTCCAACAGTAAATAAACTGGTTATCTTTTATTCATTTCATCTGTGTTACCTTTTTATCACCTTAAGCAAATTCCCCCATAAGCCCTTTTTTGGTCTTCACTATTTTAAAATGTAGGTTACTTTCCACAAGTTGAGAATTATACAGGTCATTGAATCTGATTGTTTATTTAGTATTTGTTAACATTTGAACTCTAATTAAACTAAAAACTCAATATTTTTCCTTCACCAATTCCTATTACATGACATTCAACAGTTGATGTGGCTTTCTGTATGATTCAACCTTTGCCATTTTCCACCAAAACAATATGAATGGCCATAAAGTGTTTTAGAATCATAATTTCAGAGCTGGAAGAGATCTTAGATTATCTGGTCCAATTTCTCCCTCCTCTCATTTTATGAATGAAGAAATTGAAACCAGATAGGCAAAATGACTTGTTCAAGGTTCTGTAGGTAATAAGTAGAAGAGCCAAGATTTCAGTCCACATTCTCTAAATGTTGCATAATTACCATGTTGCTGTTGTCATCTGAATTTGAAAATAGGGCAGACAGGTTAGAAAGAAACTATAGACAAGCCAAACATATGGCTGGTTGGAATTTAATAGATCTCTGACCTAATTTCTACTCAATTCCTTGGCAGGAGAGAGAATAATAATTGTACTAATTCCCAAGATTCCACTAGCGTCCAGTGATTCCTTCTTGTTAATTCAAGTTTCTTGTGTATAGAATACATTGGGGTATACAGGTGATACAAAAGGATGAGGAACACACAGGGATATATGTCTATCTGTTAGCTTGATTCATTGGGGTGAGTAAATAGAATCAGATTTGGAGGGGACCTCAGATCATGTAGTCTAATCTATACCCGAATTAGAATCCTTTCTACAATATTACCCAAAATTAGTCATCCAGCATCCACTGGAAGACATTCCATCATAGGAAACTCAAGACCTCTTGAAACAGCTCATTGCATTTTAGGACAACTCTTTGAGGAAATTTTTCTTCACATGGGGCCTAAATCTGTTTCTACAAATTTCATCCATTGTTTCTCTGTTTGCCTTTTAGAGCCATGCAAATGCATGCAAAACAAATCTTCCATGTGACAGGCCTTCATATCTTTGTGAAAGAGCTATCCTGACCTCCCTAATTCTTCTCTTCTCCAATCTAAATATCTTCATTTCTTTTAATTGATTTTCAAATCATTTAATTTCTAGTCCATTCATAACCCCAATTTAGTCCTCTACATAACGCTGTAGCTTGCCAATGTCATTCCTAAAATGTTGCACCCTGAAGTTCAACAAATTAATCTTTATTAAATGCCTGCTATGTATAAGGCAGTGAGGAGATACAGATGACAACTCTATCCTAACACGTGGGGTCCCCATTGGGAGGGGGTGCAGAAAAAGTGGAAATGACATATACAAATAAGTGTGATACATAGTAGACCATGATAAGGTCAAAGAAGAGCCAAACAAAGGAATAATTTGAGTCACTAGGTTTAGGACTAATCTTGTTGGACCTTTTGTTTCTCCTAACACTGAGACAGACAGAATAAAGGCTTAAGTGAATATCAAAGATGAGTAGTAGAAACCGCAGATTCCACAATATTCTAAAACCACTGGCTTTATGTGGAATACATGGTCAATATTTTAATTTCCTACATAAAGTTTTATTGATATGTGAATTTTTTTCCTGCATATGACTAGAGTACGGCAAGAAGAAATTTTGGGTTTAGGGAAATACTTCTAGTTGCTAAATTGAACTAATCTTCAGTTTTTAATAGAACATTTCCTAAGAACAGTCTACTCATGGAGGGAGTTAATACACCCTTAATCTTTGCAGTGTCCATTATAGGATACATAATTTGTCGAGGCATTATCAGGTAAATATTTGATTATGATGTTATGTATTAAAGGTGCTAGGAATAACAACTGCTGATTGTGCTCCTCCAAAAGTTTGCATTATGTACAACAAAATAAGATCCTTATATATGGATAAAAGATGAAAATTTTGGTAGAAACATTAGAAAATGTTTCACTGGTGGCATAGAATATTTTAGTTTACATATTATTCCTTAGTAACTATTGATGAAATTTAACACAAAATAATTTGCAAGTCTACAATTTTAAAAACAATCATCTGGTTTTACACAATTCTTAAGATATGTAACATTAGATTCCCTCAGTACTGACCATCTATAAGTTATTACTCCCTTATGCTTTTGTGTCTTTGTTCTTCAACTGCCTATCAGCAACTGGAATTTGACAATTTCTTTAAAAGCAGGAAATTATTCTAAGTGTCATAGGAGCAATCATTTTGCCTACCTCTGCTTTCTTTTTTGATTTGTTTAGGACTACACATTAAATTTTAAGCCACAGTTGAAGTGGGGTTAGCTTGCCTGATTGAAGAGCAGCCAAATCAAGGATTCTGGTATATCATATTCAGGGAGCATAGATTTTCACCAAAGCAGTCACTCTGTTTCTTTAAAACATCAAGCAACAAGTATACTAACATGTACCAAAGGATGAAAAGCTTCTATGTACATAATCCAAAATGAAATTGAGATATGGCAGTTATCTAATTAATTTTAAAAATCCTGATGGGCTAACCAAACTGACACTGTGAAATTTTCATTATCTAATTTGACTGTTTGCACTGCTCACATTAACCAGATAATTTGTGTATCTCCATTTCATTTTGGGTAAAGTCTTGAAATATGTAATCTTTTTTTTTAAATTTCCAATAATAGTAGTAATAATAACTAACATTTCTAAAGCACCTATTATGTGCCAGGTACTGTGTTAAGTGCTTTACAAATCTTATCTCATTTGATCTTCATAACAACTCTGGGACATAGATATCATTATTCTCCCTTGATTGATGAGGAAACAAACAGAGGTTGTCACTTGCCAAAGGTCACATAGCTAGTAAGTATCTCAGGCTGGGGTGTAGGATGTGTTCAGGGGAAGACTAGTATCTGTGGTGTGAAGGCTGCTAAGCCCTTTTCAGGGCTGCTTTCCAGCTTTGGTGTCCAGCTGTTCCACCTAACTCTCACCAAGAAGCTGTAGCATGTGTAGTGGCTACACCCCAGTAAACCATTTCAGCAGACAGGCTAAACCAGGTTGAGGGTAACCAAGGGATCTGAAACCCATTGATGAGTTAGGGGGGTGTCTACTCCAAAGACTTCCCCTGGTGGAATGGGTAGATGTGAACAATCTGTTCCAACAGCCATGAAGGCAGCTGAAGCAGGTGCTGTGGAGTGCTTGGAGCTTAGTTAGACATCAAAGACACCAAGGTCATCTGCTGTATCTTGAACCATCACTAGTCATCTTGATTCTGTCCTGCCACTGGACTGTGATGACTCTGGAGGAGAGAGTGAGGCTAACAATTTTGTGCAACTCTGACTCACTTAAATCCAGTTTACGCATGAATCAAAGTCCTGTGGCAACAAGCAAGTAATGAAGCAACAGATGAAGATATACTGGGAGCTGCAGTCACAATCCTGCACACAGGCATCCCAGGCCAGAGGGTTGTCTTTTCACTGGAAGCAGCAGTGTGATTCGGCAGCCCCCGAGCAGCTTTTTAAGGATTGCTCTTCTCACCTCCTGGTGTGAGGAAAGGGCTAGAAAAGGTGCCCTAAAAGTTGCCTGCTTACACAATGCTGGCCTGATTACCTCAGCAAGCAGGGATTCCACCCTGTGGTTAAAACACAAAAAAATGTACAAAAAAGTCTGCAGAGATGATTCCATTCATCACCGGCACATGGAATGTGCACACACTCATAGACAAAAATCCAATAGACCTGAAAGACAAACAGCTCTTGTTGCAAGAGAACTCAGCAGGTATTGCATCCAAATAGCAGCCTTGAGTAAAACAAGGCTGGCAAATGAAGGCCAGTTTATTGAAGTTGGAGCTGGATATACATTTTTCTGGAGTGGTCACAGTGAAAGGGAGTGCTGTGAAGTTGGTATGGGCTTTACAATCAAAACTAATCTAGTCCACAAACTTGTATGCTTACCAAAAGGAATGAACAACAGGCTCATGACAATGTGATTGCCACTTGCAGGAAAATGTCCCACCACCATGATCAGTGCCTATGCTCCCACCATGACAAACCCTGATGAGGACAAAGAAAAATTTTATGAAGACCTGGAGACCCTCATCATCAATGTGCCAAAAGAGTTCAAACTTATACTTCTGCGCGATTTTAATACAAGAATAGGCATGTGTTACCAGACTTGGTAGGGAGTCCTAGAAGGAATGAGGTTGAAAACAGCAATGGCAGTGGTCACTTACTGTTGAAGACTTGTGCATCTCATGACCTTCTCATCACCAACACTGTCTTCCATTTACCTAAATTCAATAAAACTTTGTGGATGCACCCTTGCAGCAAACAATGGCATTTAATAGACTATGTGATCATAAGGAGAAGAGACAGACAGGATATGAGAGTGAGAAAGACAATGTGTGGCACAGAGTGCTGGACTTATCCTTTCCACACTAAATGTTCACATTCAATAAAAGTGGTGTCCCAAAGGCAAAATGACTATCAGAAGAATTAATGTCAACAGATCAGAGCTTTTCTTTGAAAGGGAATAGTTTGTTGTTAACTTGGAGGGAAAGTTGAACCAACACAGGGCTGGCAACAGTGGAGCAGAGAAAGAGTGGGCGACTTTCAGAGATTTGGTATACAGCACTGTATTTGCTCATCTGGGTCTGAACACTGACAAACATCAAGACTGGTTTGAAGAAAATGATGGGGAAATTCAGAAGCTGCTAAATGAAAAATGAGAACTCCGTAGGGTTTGCCAGCAGGATATTTCATCCACCTATAAGAAGGCAGCATTTAATTCCATCAAAAGTGCATCCCAACTACTCAGTGCTGATGGAGCCACATTGATTAGTGACAAGGACATGATCCTAGAGAGATGGGCTGAACACTTCCATAGTGTTTCAATATACCATCATCCATCAATGATGAAACCATTGACAGTTTCTCAGGTTGAAGTCAATCCCTCCCTAGCTGAAGTTCTAACT